TCCCATACTCTAAATAATGGGCAGTCTCCCATACTCTAAATAATGGGCAGTCTCCCATACTCTAAATAATGGGCGGTTCCCATACTCTAAATAATGGGCGGTTCCCATACTCTAAATAATGGGCAGTTTCCCATACTCTAAATAATGGGCGGTTCCCATACTCTAAATAATGGGCAGTTCCCATATTAAATAATAAGCAATGAACACATGTCCATGACCTGTCAGAGCCGTGAACTTCCATTTTTTGTGCAATTTCCCCTCAGTCCCGGTCCATGCTGAGGCCCCTGGAGCTGTCGCTGCCCGCCCAGTCGCCCAGCTCCGAGAAGGAGGCTTTGAAGAAGGAGCTGGAGAGCCTGAGGAGCAGCTTTGGAGCAGCCAAGGAGGAGATCAGCAAGCTGCAGAGGGAGCTGGCCCTGAAGGGCGCCGAGTGCAGGGCCCTGGTGTCAGAGTGCGAGAGGAGCAAGGCAGAGTCTGACAGGCAGGTCAGGCAGCTGGAGGACGCCCTGAAGGACGTGCAGAAGAGGATGTTCGACTCCGAGGGCAAGGTGAAGCAGATGCAGAGCCACTTCCTGGCCCTCAAGGAGCACCTGGCCAGCGAGGTGGCCTCGGGGAGCGGCAAGGCGACGGAGGAGCTGAAGGAGCAGCTCAAGGAGATGAAGGCCAAGTACGAGGGAGCCTCTGCCGAGGTGGGGAAACTGAGGAACCAGATCAAGCAGAACGAGCTGCTGGTGGCAGAGTTCCGGAGGGACGAGGGCAGGCTGGTGGAGGAAAACAAAAGGTTGCAGAAGGAGCTGGTGAAGGTGGAGATGGAGCGAGATGAAAGGGGCAGGAACGTCACGGAGTTGGAAGGGCAGCTCAGAGAGACGGCGGCCAAGCTGGCCCAGTCCGTGAGTGCGGAGCAGTTTGAGAAGGTGAAGGGTTTGCTGTCAAACGAGGTGAAGGAGAAGGCAAGGAGGTTAGCAGAGGTGGAGGGGGAGCAGGAGAAGCTGCAGGCAGAGCTGGTGCTGTTACAGAGGGAGTCTGAGAGCCAGAGAGCTCAGCTGGCACAGCGTGTGAAGGCAGAGGAGCACGAGCAGATGAGGAGTGGGTTTGAGCAGAGGGAAGAGGAGCTGGGGAAGGCAATTTCTGAGCTATCACAGAAGAATGAGACTCTGCAGAAGGAACTTGAAAGATTGCAGGCTGATAACAAGGTGCTGAAGCAGCAAGTCCAAATGCTAAAAACTGAAATTAAAAGCCAGAATGTGCCTTTAAAAATTCATGAGGAGTTGAAGAAAGCAAACGATCTGGCTGTGGGTGACCTGACAAAAAAGCTTTTTGAAATAACAAAGAAGTACAATGAAAGCAAAGCAGAAGCTGAAAAGTTGCTGGCAGAGAAGAACAACTTAAATGAGAATATCAGCCACTTGCAAGCTGTGTACCTGTCTCTGGAGCAGCACAAGAAAGAGCTGGAAGCTTTAAAATCTAATGGGATTGAGCTTGAGAAGCAGCTTGCTGAGCTTCAGAAGAAATATGATGAGGAGCAGGCAAAAGTGGGCAAGCTGGTGGCTGAGAACACGGGCCTGAGGGAGACCTTGAGGGATCAGTACGTGCTGGCCACCACGCACGAGGAGGTTAAAACTGTCCTCAACAGCACCCTGGAAAAGACCAATGGGGAGCTGTCAGACCTGAAGGGCAAAATTGGAGAGATAAAGCAGGAGTTCCTGAGGGTAAACGAAGAAAACGGAGCTTTAAAAAACAAGGTGAAACTCTTACAGAACCAATTAAAAACGGAGTATATCAGTTTAAAGGATCACGAGGCCATGGTAAATACTTTAAATAAAAGCGTGCAAGAGCTGCAGGAGAGCAACGCTGCCGTTAAGGCTGAGCACCAGAGGGGGCAGGATGAAATCTTACAGTTGCACGCAGAAATTGAAGCCCAGAAGAAGGAGCTGGACACAATCCAAGAGTGCATCAAGTCCAAGTACGCCCCGGTGGCCTCCTTTGAGGACAGGGAGCAGAGCCTGCAGGGCACGGTGAAGGAGCTGCGGGCACAGCTGCAGGAGCAGCAGCAGAGGTGCAGGGGCAGCGAGCAGGAGGCGCAGAGGTGCAGAGAGGAGAGCGAGCAGCTCCGCAGCGGGCTCCTGTCCATCCAGCACGACCTGCAGCACAACTACGTGCTGGCAGAGAAGTCCCACCAGCTGGAGAGGCTGTGTGCCAGCAGCATGGAGGAGCTGAGGCAGCAGCTGAGGGCCCTGCTGAGGAAGCACACGGGGCAGGAGGGGCAGCAGGAGGGAGCCGTGGATCGCGAGGTGCCGGCGGAGCGGCTGCAGGCGCTGAGGGAGGCTCTGGGCCGCACCGTGGAGGAGCTGCAGCAGGCCCTGAGCAGCAAGGAGGAGCGGTACCACAAGGAAACGCTCAGAGTCGGGGAGCTGCAGCAGGAGCTGGCCCGGCTGAAGGAGTCCTCGGTGCCCCTGGTGGAGTACACCCAGCTGAAGGAAGGGCTGGAGGGAGAAATGGCGGCCATCAAGCGCGGCCTGGAGGAAAAGGAGGCGGAAACGCAGGCCAAGAGCCAGGAGGTGCTGAGGCTGCAGGAGGAGCTGCGGCAGAGCCAGCAGGCCCTGGCAGAGCTGCAGAGCCAGGAGGTGGTGGCCGTGGCAGAGTACAGCTCCATGAAGGCTGCCCTGGAGGCCCAGGTGAGCAGCATGGCCGGCCACCTGGCCAGCATGAGCCACAAGTACGAGCAGGCCTGCGAGGAGGCCCTGCAGGCCAGGAGGAGCGAGCTGTCCCTCAAGGACGAGAAGGAGCTGCTCCAGCTCAGGAGCTGCAGCATCGAGCAGGAGATCAAGGACCAGAAGGAGAGGTGTGACAAGTCACTGACGACCATCATCGACCTGCAGAAGAGGATCCAGGAGTCTGCAAAGCAGGTGGAAGCCAAGGACAACAAGGTGAGATCTGGGGTTTGTGCTCCTGATGCTCTCAGTTCAGCATTCAGCTCCTGAGGTGCTCCAGCACCACTTTGTGCTGAGCGTCAGGAACCCAGGGCTGGCCCAGAGCAGCTGAAGTCCTCATTTTACATCACGCAAAGTTTTTCCAGTCCATTATGTTCTGGACATTGTGTTGTGTTTAAATTCTGTTAAAGCTTCAGACTTCTGGGGATATCAGCTCCCCATTTGTCTGGAGCTGTGTTTGTTGGGCATCTCTGGCTGGCCTTCTGAAGGTTCACTGTTCTTCCTAGAAGTCAGACCTGGAATGCTCTTAGATCCTCCCTTTTTTCAGTCTCTTATGTCACTGTACCTGCCACACCCCAGTGCCAGGGAGCACAATGGCAACCAGCGTGTCAGCAAAGCAAAGTCCTCTCTCTGCAAGCTGGGACAAAGACCCTTCAGTGCTTGCTGGGCTTCATCAGACTCGAAAGAATGTTAAAGAGCAGTCTGCAGTGAGACATCCTTAAATGGCGTTTTCTGGTTTTTTTTTTTATTTTATTTAAAGATAACAGAGCTGCTGAACGACGTGGAGCGGTTAAAGCAGGCTCTCAACGGCTTGTCCCAGCTGACATACACCACTGGGATCCCCTCCAAGAGGCACAACCAGCAGGTGGAACTGCTCCAGAGCCAAGTGAAAACACTCCAGCAGCAGCTGGCTGTAAGTGCTCACACAAGGTGTTGTCTGACGTGCAGTAGCATTGCTTAATTCCCTGTGTAAACAGGGAAATGTGGATGTGCCCGCTGGAGCAGGGGGTGGGACTGCAGCCTCACACTTCACAAGCACACCATCCATTGTTTGCTTGGGCCTTTGCCCCTGAGTTCTGCTTCTCTGTACATTTTTTTTCTGCTTTCCTCTTCAGTTTGAGTTGCAACACTTGACAGCTTCTCCAGATAAAAGGGATATAAGCAGAGTGGGAGAATTTGTGCTTATGTGATACTCTGCTGTAATCCTGCCAAGACCGTTTCTGAATGCAGGCTCAGCTTTAGCCATTTCTTACAACCATATATTTTTTTCTCACCTTGGAAGGCTGAGGTGGTAATTTCTTAATGGCTTTGAGTTGTGTTCCTCTGCCTGCAAGCCCTGGGTGTGTTGTTTGTCGTGAAGCACTGACAGACAGAGCAGGGGACATATCCTGAGTGCTGGGATTTTGTGCACACTTTACCTCAGTGAAGCTCATTATTAAAGCTGTGACTGGGCAAAGTGAGTTCTGCTCCTGCTCAGATTCACAAATACATCAGAGTATTCGCAGGGTTGATTCTTATGAGGCAAAGTGTTCTAAAAAGGGGTGGTTTTAACCAAATAGCTGATGCTGTGATGAAGGCAGCATGCAGGGCTGTCGCTGTTGTATTGAGGATGGCTGAATGAAGCAACATGACTGATGTTTCTAGAAGAAAAAGCTGAGTTTATTAGACTCACATTCTTTTTATAGATAGATCTGAGAAGCTTGGACTTGATTGATGTTCAATTAACGCTCCTTACGCTGTTGGTTAATTAGGAACAACACTTGTAAACATCTTACAAGTTCAGAATACTAATTGTAGGATTGTTTTAATTCTTTATCTGAATTTTCTCAAAGCTTCCCTCAGGAATGTCTGGGAATATTTATCTGACTTTCTTTCTGACCAGACTCTCAACCACCACCACCACAATGAGCCAGGAGCTGGGCTCTGATGGCCCTTTCCAGCTCAGGATATTCTGTGATTATTCTTCCAGCAGAAGAGCAGTCACTTTTTTCCTTGATTAGTGGAAGGGATAACATTCAAACCTGTAGATTGAGCTGTGGTTGGCGTGGCAGTGGCCAAGCCCGGGAGCAGAGGGCTGGGAGGGGAAGGAGCAGAGGCTGAAGGAGGTCGGGGCTCACCCGTGTCCCCTTGTCTCCCGCAGGACGCCGCGCGGCAGCACCAGGAGGTGGTGGCAGTGTACAGGACACACCTGCTCAGCGCTGTGCAGGTGAGGCTGCAGGCCCCCCTGGCAGGGAGGGAGATGCTCACAGGGGTTTCAGTGTTGGTGATGGGTGTTTGCTCCTGCAGGGTCACATGGATGAAGATGTGCAGGCTGCCCTGCTGCAGATCATCCGCATGAGGCAGGGCCTGGTGTGCTGAGTACTGCAGGGCCCTCGTGCTGGTACTGAATTGGTGATGCTGGTAAAGCTGCACTCACAGCCTCCCAACGCCAAACAACGCTCAAAGCTGAAGCATTTTCTCCTGTCAAACACTAAACTAGGGCTATGGCATCTCAGGCCTGGTGCTTTTATCATGAGACGGATAAAAGGTATAGAACATCTCTTAAAACTGTCAAAATGATGACATAGAGGTTAAATTGTTTTAATGTCTGATTGACCACTTGTTAAAGCAGGACCTATACCCGGAAGCTCCAGTTGATCCTTGAACTTGAACTCTCATGGGATGCTTAAAAATAAACTGTGCAGAGCAGTGTGGCTGAGTGTTGTAGCTGTGGATGTCCCTTAATGATTAAGAGCAAGTGGCTCATTTGTCACACTGGCTGAGCAGGATGTGCTGTGACACACACAGGAAGGTGTTTGGCTGTCTCTTGTAACTTGGCTGGCCAAGTTACAGCCTTTATTTAATATATAAGCTTAAGATTTAGTGCCTTCGCTTCTACAAGACTTAAAAAAATCAGGTTTTCCATCCAAACACTAACACTCCCTGCCCCCAGAGTGTCCCTGAATGCTTCAATCCTGACTCCTGCAGGCTGGAGTGGCCTGGTTTGGGGAGCAGCAGTGCCATGGTCCTGCTGCTGCTGCTGCACAACTTCATTCCTCCTCAGGCTGGGACTGAGCAGCTCAGGTACTGCATTTTCAAACACCAGCTCATGCAAGTCTGAGCTGTAAATGATGTGCTTTAATCTTATTTGTGGGGAGATGTCAGTAGTGAGGATTAATGGAAGGAGAATTTTTAATTGCTGGAATCTCCCCATGAAACAAGGCTTCATTTTTAACTGAAGGATGGTTTCCATAAGGAAGTTTTATGAAAAGGAAAAAAAAAAACAAACCATGAAATTTGTTACCGTTCAAGGGAAGTCTTTGAAAAATGAGCCTGTTAAGGAACAGGGCTGTTTAAATTGAGCACCAGTGAGTGCTGACCTCAGTCTGCTTTTTAAAAGCCTTGGCTGATAACCACCAAGGGGGAATGTGGCATTCTGATGCAGAAAAGCCAAACTTCCCCTCCATGTTCCTGAAAAATGAGGGCTGAAGTCAGAGTTCCCTGCTTTGTGCTGTTTGGGCTCCCCCAGCTGCCCCTCCAGGCCCTGGGCTCCTTTTTTTACACTACACTTGTGTTTATCTCCTTTTATTTTCTCCCTTTTTGGGCAGAGTCTTGTAGGATTGAAGAGGCCACGTGGAGGCTCCAGACAGTGATGGATGTGCAGGGCAGTTTTTATATAGAAATACCCTTAATATATTTACTAAATACGTGTCTGTAGTAAAACAGATCTGCTGCTGCTTTCCTTTAGTTTCTTAGAGGACTATTACAGAAAACATCTCAGAGTAAAGAGTTACTTTTTAGCCAAATTCTTTTATGATTGCATTACTTGAAACTTATTGGAGAGGATTTGTTTTGTTGTACTAACTGGCCTATTTTGATACTGTGTTTCCTTATCCAGGGAGTTCTAGGTATGTTTTTCTAAATCTCTCCCATATTACTTCAATAAAATGGTTTCTTCTTTTTTTTGTATTGTAGTGGTCAATTCTTTTCAGGGCACAGGAATACCAGTGGAGTTTTGAGCTTTAATAGGTGTGCACTGTGTAAATCCTGGGGAAATGGGGGTGTCTGCAGGCTCAGGGAATGAGCCAGTCCAGCCACAGCGCTGTCCCCTCCCTGGGGAAGGTTCCACATCCATGGCCAGCAGGAAATGGGAGGTCACCAGAATGTCAGATGCCACCAGAGAGGCCCCAGGGTCCCCTGGAGCAGCAGCGCCACATTAACGAGGTAATGGAGCCTGGAGCTGGGGCTGGCACGGGCTTCTGCGTGGAACTGCTCTCTGCAAAGGGAAATTTGCCTTTTGTCTCCAGGAGCTGCCTTGGGAATGGCTGGGAATGCTGGGAGCTTGGAGTTTACTGCTTTTGTCATCTCGTGCCTGTGTTGCTCTGCCAACTCAGAAAATTGCCTTTTAATAGGGAGGCCATACACGTAATTGTCACAGCCATTAGGTCAGATGGATTTTACAGGAAGAGAAAAAGATGTTGAGCATTTAAGGGCCATTAAATTGTGCAGGTTTTCATTGGTGGGCTGCAGCCTCCGAGGCAGCGCGACGCTGGGAGGGATATTTATTTTTACATTTGCAGAGCAGGGGAGGGAATACATTGCACAGGAAAATAGGACATGAAAATGGGCTGGTTTTCCACTTGGTGAACAGCTAGTTTTATTTCATAATAATTAGTTTTACACTTCATTAAGTGATGGGGCTTTTGCTTATATACTTTAGGAACACAGTGGAGAAGGTTTAAAAATTCTCAGCAGGGCATCAGGTTACAGTTTTATAATGTAATGAGGAATTTCAGAGGGAGATGGGACGAGAATTAGTGAGTTCAGAGACACTTCTGGTTGCCCTGGTCTCACTGTACAGCTTGCTGGAGTTTGGGGTTTGGAAGGTTTTGACTTCTGTGGGCAAGCAAGTGAGAAATGCTGCAGGATCTCAGCTCCTGCTGGGAGGAGGGACAGAAATTGGATATTCAGGAGTGATTTCTGCTGCTGGTGTGGGGAAGAGCTGCAGCCCAGCCCAGGCAGCACCTCTGGGTGCTGGGAGGAGAAATGGGTGATCAGGGGATTGCAGGGAAGGGTTTGGCTGCAGAGTTAAAGTGCAGCAGGGCCTTCAACAGCTCATTTCACAGGAGCCAGGAGCTCCAGCATGGACTGTGGAATTCCCAGGGGCGATATCCATGTTTTCCTTGCCTGGAGAGGAATGGCCCCATCTCCTCTCCTGAGCTGCAGCTCCATGGAGCTGTCAAATCCCCAAAAATCAGATAAAAGGCAGCTCTGTGCGTGGATCTCAGCTCGTCAGGCTGACACCCTCGAGCTGCTGGAGGGTTTGGAGGTGCTGTGCTGGATCCTGCACGCTGGCACCGAGTGGGAGGGTGTGCTGGGACCTCTGCTGTTCCTGTGGGTGCTCCTGACAGGAAATGACAGCACTCCCGTGCCCCTGCTCCTGTGTCTCCTGCAGCCCCAGGCTGTGATGTTCTCACATCCCACTCCTGCTAGAAGGTGGAAAAGGAGAGAAATGAGTGGGCTCTGGAGCAGGGACTCGCTGGGATGAGAGGGAGCTCCCTGGCAGGCAGCAGAGCCTTGCAGGAGGCTGTGGGAAGGCAGAACAGGATTCTCCCGGGCTTCAGCTTCACCTGGAAAGGGCAGGGTACAACAATGCAGTCATTTGGGCAGCTTTGAAGAATTCTGGCAGTCTGCTTTTTTCTTTTTCCTCTCCTGAGTGAGGATGTAAACAGACCTGAGGAAGGTGCAGGGAGAGGGCTCTGGAGATTCCCTGGGGGTGCATCCACAGGGGAATCCACAACCAGTGAGAGGCAAGGACACTCTGGGGTCCCACTGCCTGAGGGCAGGGTTAGATGGGATGGTGGGAAGGAACAAAACCTTCCCCAGTCACCTTTGCAGCATCTCCAGTGCAACGGATGGGGACTCCAGGGCCACATTTGGAGGTAAATTACACGGAACAAATAAACCAATCTGTTCCTAAAGCGCTCCTGTGCCTTTGGGAGCCCCGGCCCTCACTGACTGCTGGGGGATTTAAGGGTATTTTCATCCATTCTAATCCATTGTTACCTTTTTTTAAAGGTCAGCTGAACCAATCCCACCCAGCACTGGGGCTGCTTGGGAGAGCCTGTGCTCAGTCCCTGGGGGACATTGCAAATCCTCCTTGTTCCAGGTGCATTTGGGGCTGTGCTCCTGCTGTGTTTTGGGGCCGTGTTCCAGGTGTGTTCCCGGTGCCTTGGGGCCATGTTCCCACTGTGTTTTGGGGCTGTGTTCCTGCTATGTTTTGGGGCCATGTTCCAGGTATTTCTGGCCCTGCTTTGGGACCACTGTCACGTTCCCCTGTACCATGGGCTCACCTGGGTTCAGACCCCTCTGCCCCCAGCGGGATGTGTCGGTGCCTTTCTGGAGCAGCTGGAAGGGGCAGTGCCCGTGGGGGCAGAGCCGCTCCCTGCCTGGCTGGAGCAGGCTGAGGACAGAGGTCACTGCCCTGGCACGGGGCCTGCCAGGACAAAGTTGATGTGCCAGCCCTTGGGAATGTGTTTGACCTGGCTCAGGGGGTTTGGCTGATCAGCACTTCCACCCTGGATCACACACCTCACAGCAGGAAGGTGATGAAACACTGAGATGGGGGCTCCGGGCTCATCTCCTCTGGCTCTGTATCACAAACTGCTTTGATCTCTGCTCTCAGCCCTCTGAGGTGACATTTCTGTGCCGGTTTGGGGTGTTCAGGTGTCCGTTGTCTCCAGATCCTTTCTGGGACCAGGAGGGGCTCAAGGGGCAGGAAGGCTCTGTGGTCTTTTAGGAAAGATCACAACTGGAGGGGGCCAGACGTGGCCTAGCAAAGCTGCTCTTGCAGCAGTGCCTGCTGGGCTGTGTGAGGAGGAGGAGGAGGAGGAGGAGGAGGATCTGGCTCATCCCAGCTGCTGGCAGAGCCGCCTCTGGAAGCTGCACGTTCCCAGAGTGGTTTCAGAGGCTTTTACTTGCCTTGTACTGCCCCGCTCCTGCCTGCAGGCTCTGCTGGAGCTGCTCTGTGCCCTGTGGCTCCAGCTCTCCCAGCTGCCTTCCCCAGTGCCAGAGCAGCGAGGCAGGAATCAGGGCAGGGCTCTGGCTCTGCCCCAGAACACTCCCCAGGAATGTGCTTATCTGCCGTGCTCCCAGCTCGGGCAGGAGCCGGTGCTCCTGATGAAATCGAGATGCCCAGGAGAGGTTACAAACCTGCTCGGGGATTTTCCTGGGGCTGCGGGAAGGTGTCACCTTACCTGTGTCAGCTGGATGCCTCCGGGGGCAAAGTGTGGAGCGCTGAGTGCCAGGACACGGGAATGGCTCCCAGTGCCAGAGGGCAGCGATGGATGGGATTTGGGGAAGGAGCTGTTCCCTGGCAGGGTGGGCAGGCCCTGGGTGCCCAGAGCAGCCTGGCTGTGCCCAAGCCAGGCTGGGCTGTGACCGTGCTCACAGGGGTCTGAGGATGAGGGAAGAGATGAGGATCTGACTCTGTGTTTCAGCAGGCTGATTTATTATTTTATGATATATATTACATTGAAACTATACCAAAAGAATAGAAGAAAGGATTTCGTTAGAAGGCTGGCTAATAATAGCAAAAGAAAAGAAAGAATGATAACAAAGGCTTGTGGTGCAGACTTTCTCACAGCTGACCGTGATTGGCCATTAATTAGAAACAACCACATGAGACCAATCCCAGATGCACCTGTTGCATTCCACAGCAGCAGCTAACCATTGTTTACATTTTGTTCCTGAGGCCTCCCAGCTTCTCAGGAGGAAAAAATCCTAAGGAAAGGATTTTTCATAAAAGATTCTGTGACACTGGACATTGGGCCTGGAGCACCCTCATCTCTCTGTGTCTTCCTCGTGTCCAATCTAAACCTCCTCTTCTCCAGCTTGAAGCCATCCCCTCGTCCCGCACCTCGTGCACGTGTGGTGCCTCAAAATGGCATAAAGGACATGAGAATTATTTCATTTTAAAAACTCTCCTCAGTCCTCAGCACACCTGGGCCCTGGAATGCGCCCTGGGCTGCGGCAGCAGCAGCAGCAGGTTCTGTGCTCTGTGCCAGGCAGCAGCCGTGCCAGGCTGTCCAACAAGCCACAGAAAAGCATCTTCCAGGCCAGCCCTGCCTCCCCCGGCCGTGGTTTGTCGGATCCCTCGGCAGAGGGCTCAGCCTGATTGGAAACACCACCGCGGCTTCATTACAAGCTCCGCGGCTTCCCCTGCACTTAACATTCCCTACAAATTGTTTGCTCAACCCTGGCATCTCGCCTCGGAGGAATTGTTGTCATTTGAAGGTTGAAGTCAGCTCTTTGAGCCCTCACAACTGTAAATAAGAGGCTGTTTGGAGCAGAGCTGCTCCGCTTTTTTCCCAGGGATGGAAGCGCTGGAATCCCTGTCACGCTCGCGTTAAAGAAACCCCAAACCCTGCCCTGGGAAAACTCATTTATAGAAAGCAGCGAAACGAGCCGCTGTTTCTAGGCACATGTTCCTCATTTTGCCTTTATTGCTTTAACATGTCTGCGCTGGAGCAGTGCCCCGGGAGGCCGGGGGTGCCAGCTGCACACCTGGCTGGGCTGCAGCACCAGGGCTGCCCTTTCATCTCCGCTCGCCTCTGATTGGAACCACGGCTTGGCCGCACATCACACACGGGGAGCTGAAAGCCATCCTCGGAGCTGGCTCCTGCAGGAAGCCCTGCGAGGCCGGGGGGGGGTGAGGGGTGGGTTTTGTTCCCTTTTTGGAGCTGTTGTATCGAGTTTATGTCCTGGCAGAGGCAGGAAACCATCGTGTGCAATGTGGCAAGCAGAGCTCGCAGGTGGCCCGGCCAAGGGCTGTAAATTATGGCTTTAATTTCTTGGTTTATGGGCTCTTGTTGACTGCAGATCAATAGGAAAAAGGTGCACGGAGCCACCTCTTTTAATTAAAATGCTGCTGGGGCTGGGCTGCAGCGAGGGAGGGAGCAGCCGCTGGTTCCCAGTGCGGGGTTTGTGTTCCTCCCCTGGCTGCTCGGGGTTTCCAGAGGCCAATTCCTCGAGGAGACTCCAACCTCGGAGACCCATGGAACACCCTGAGCTGGAAGGGATCGTTGCTCCAGGCCCTGGGCCTGCACAGACACCCCCAATCCCACCCCGTGCCCCAGAGTGGTGTCCAGGCTCTCCTGGAGCTCAGGAACGTGCCCACCCCAGAGCTGGCTCCAGCCTGGGCTGTGTTTGCCTCCTCACATCCCCAGCCAGCTCACCTTGTTCTCCAGAGAACAGAACCACAGCGCATTTCAGGCAACCTTGGTTCCAAACAGCTCCAATTCCGATTCACCCCGAGCTGGAGATGCTTTCCCCGGGGCAGGATTCTGCCCCAAACAGGTGCAGCAATATTTCTCTTCTGGAAGAATTTGCAGAGCACATCTCCCATCTGTGCCAGAGGCTCTTTTCCTGCTCGTGGCCCTCTGACACGGCCCTAATTAAAGGCAGATATTAAAGCCAAGCCCAGTTTATGTCCCGCCATTCCTGGGAGAACGACCCATCGCGTGAGATTGTTTGAAGTCTTAGTTAACCTTTCATCATTCGAGCCTGAGCCTGGCTTTGATTTTGCTGCAGGGAAAAAAAAAAAAAAAAAAGAAAAAGGATATTTTGCAAATTCTTCAGGAAGGAAACATGCCAATGCTGCGGCATCTCTCATTGTGCTGGGAATGCTGTGTTTGGAATCTCCTCGGCGATGCAGGCTGAGGAATGAAGGGTTTTTCCATTTCCCTGCTTGGGCTCTGCCTGTTCTGTCCGAGGTGCTGCTAAAGGTAATTACAGCATGCAGGGGGGTGTGCTGGCTGAGAGGGGAGGCTCAGGGTGAGTCTCAGCCACAGAATCTCCTCAGAGCTGAGCTCTGCTGATCCGACACCTGAGGAACCGCTTCCAGGTGTTCAGAGCAGCAGAACGAGGAACATCCACTCCCCAGCACATTCTGTGATAAACCCGGAGCCAAAAGCTCCTCAGCAGCCTCCCTGCTTGTTTGTTTTTGCCCATGGGAGGTGCTGGCTGGCTGACAGGGGCTGGGAGAGCGGCCAGCTCCGGTGCCAGGGAGCCAGGGCAAGAATTCCCCGCTCCCACCCAGAGCGTGGCTGGG